AACCCTAAACTTGTAAAAAGTACGATTCAAATGTCCGTGCCTAAATACAAATCAGATGTGCAGCGCATGCCTGGTGTTCTAAACTATTTGGTAAATATGTGCCACGCCTGTCTGAGCGAACGGCTTCTCCACGAGCGCTTATCAAATCACATGTACAGTTCGAATGAACTGACAACCACATAAAGGAGTGAAAACGCGTTGTGTAAGCACAACATCAGTGCTAGCCATCTTTGATCCAAGGAAGCAATCAAAGCTAACTTGCTACGCTTCAAAAGACGGCGTTGGTGCAGCGCTTTTGCTGTGTCACAACGGCCATTGGCGGCCAGAGGCATATGCATTTCGTGTGTTAACGGACACAGAACAGCGTTATGCGCAAATTGAAAAAGAGGCACTTAGCGTTTCTTTCGACTGCAACAAATTTTATCAGTTCATTTACGGACAGAACTTTGCCATCGATACGGACTACAAACCTCTGTTGTCTATAGCTGCAAAAGGAATTTGCGACATGCCCCCCCCCCCCCCCCCCATCTGCAAAGGTTCTTTTTGAGACTTCTAAACTATGACTTTGTTTTACAGTATGTCCCAGGAAAGCACCTTATCCTGGCAGACATGCTGTCACGATTATTTCGGGCTCCAGTGGACGACATTAGTGGGGCTATGGACGACGTGGAAGTACACACAATTGCAGCCCTGGGTTACCTGGTCACTGAAGAGACGCGCCAGAAAATGGTGAATGAAACGGCAAAGGACTACATGCGGACAATCGTCTCTTGCCTCTCAACTGGCGACAAGATCGAAGGCGAGCTAAAGCCGTTTTCCTCTGAACTTTCCCTTGTAAATGGCATATTGCTAAAAGGCACGAAAGTGATAATACCAAGACGCATGCGCCGTGATATCCTGGGAAGAATTCATCCAGGGCATCTGAGTCTTCAGAAATGCAAAGAAAGGACCCGTCATCTTGTTTTTTGGCCTGGCATCAGCCATGATATCACTACTACGATCCAGAGTTGCCCCACGGGTTGTGAATATGCTTATAAGCAACAGCAGGAGCCACTGCTGATGCCCCCAGTCCCTGCTTGCGCGTGGTATCGAGTTGGTGTAGATATTTTTCTTTCGCAGGAAGTTAATACATTGTGGCGTTCGATGCACTTAGCAACTTCCCTGAAGTCGAGAAACTTGCCGATGCCACTGCGAGGACGACCATCATGGCACTGAGTGCCATGTTCGCACGGTACGGGATAACCATAAAAATGTGCACAGACAATGGGGCATAATTTGTAAGTCACGAGTTTGCAGCCTTTGCAAGGAAATACGATTTTACTCATGTTACGTCCAGCCCTCGCTACCCACAATTTAATGGCCTAGCGGAAAAAGGGGTCCAGGTCGTCAAGCGCATAATGAAGAAAAGTGCGCACGCACATGAGGACTTCTGGCTGGGTCTGCTGGCCACTGCACACCACTGGAGGACGGTTGATCGCCAGCGTAACTTCTGTAGGGCAGATACCCGAGAGCTAATCTTCCTGATTTTTCTGCAGTGCCAACAACCGTCGTGAAAAAGCACCAGCAAAAGAGCAGCGGAAACGATCGATCGTGAGGTTCGGGGACAAAACATGGACACAGAAATGGCAAGTCGTCGCAACTGCTGCGCCTAGGTCCTACAAAGTTCAAACCGAAGATCGTCGGCTGTTCAGGCGCAACAGGCATCATCTTCTGCAAACCGGTGAGAGGTGTGCTGTAGACATCAGCGACGACAGTTATTCCGAGGGAGAGCCAGATGACCCCGCCTCACCAACCCCAGCCGTCTCACCAGTTGCCCCAGCATGATCACAAGTCCGCTCCCCGCGACAACAGTCCACCACCGACAGCATAGCACCCGCATGTGCTGCACGCCACGAGTCGCCAACTTCTCTAGGTCGTACAATGGGCCCACGAAGGTCTGCCTATACAGTCAAGCCTCCAAAGAGACTTCATTATGATGATTCTTTCAATCAACTGCCCTGAACTGTTGTTTTCATTACCCCCCAGGGTATGTATCGGACATGCGCTGTCTGTGTTATAGCGATCAGTGCGTTTACTGCCCCCACCACCTATATAAAGACGTGTTAATCAACCCTGCCGTTCTTCTTGCTCCCCTCAACATATAGTTGCCTCTGTCCTTTGTCAGACACCCGACACCTTACACCAAGCACCAATAGACATGGTACTGCTTCTCACATGCCGATGTACTATATAAAAAAAGGAAAACCAACTACTTCTGCGACCACGTTTCCCTTTCATGTTATGCTGATTCCTCTTATGACAGCATCATCAGCCTGACTACGCCCACTGCAAGGCGAAGGCCTCTACCGTGATCTGCCAATCAACCCGGCCTTGTGCTTTATGCTGTCAAGTTATACCTGTGAACGTTTTAATCTCATCAGCCACCTAACTTTCTGTCTCCCCTTCATGCGTTTGCCTTTTCTGGGAATAGAGTCAGTTACCCTTACTGACCACCGATTATCCTGCCTATGTGCTACCTGCCCGGCCCATGTCCCTTTCTTCTTGATTTCAACAATATCCTTAAGTCCAGTTTGTTTCCTGTTCCACACTGTTCTCTTCTCTTAATGTTACACCAGTAATTTTCCATTGCATTGCTCGCCATGTCGTCCTCAATGTAAGCTGAACCCTATTTGTAAGCATCTAGGTTTCTGCTCCGTAGGCAACTGCTGGCAAGATACATTTATTTTATACCTTCCTCTTTAGGGTCAGTGGCAGATTACCATTCAGAATTTGAGAATGCTTGCCGTATGTGATCTACCCTATCCTTACTCTTCTATGTATTTCACTCTTATGGTTCAGCTGGGTGCTTACTACCTGTTGTAGGCATTTTTCTTTACAACTTCCAGCGTTTCTCCATGTACCGCAAAGTGCTGTTTTCTGCTGAGACAGTTGCACATTACAGTTACACTACTTTATAAGAGGCATGCTCTGGGTAGCGATTTTTGTCTCTTATAAGCAGGGTATCTCGTATGCATTTTCTCATCACCCCCTATTTTGCTGTAGTCCCACTGGTGTCTCTTATACACATTTGTCCCTTATATCAGTGTCTCTTATAAAAAAGTTCGGCTATACTATAGTTTTGTGCATACTAACTTTCAGACCAACTCTCTGCTTTTCGTATTTATCAGTTCAGTAGAGAACTATGGTGGCTGAGAATCCACTGTAGATTTCTTTCAGTACGTTTACGTAGCATTCTTCAATGCCCTGATTCCGTTGTGCCTGCATCACTGCTGGTGTCACAACTGAGTCAAACACCTTCTCGTGATCTATAAAAGCTATGTATAGGGGTTGGTTATATTCTGCACATTTCTCTATTACTTCACTGATAGCATAAATATGCTCTATTGTGAAGTAGCTTCTTACAGCAGTGCATATTAAAACAGAATTGTGTGCTGGCTTCTCCAACCAGGAGGCATACATCTATAATTGGGGTGACACTTGAAAGAAACAGCTAAATATTTGAGATGGTGTCATATCACTGAAGAGTTCAAAAGGGCAGGGCTTATAGAGAGCGTTACTTCAAGAGCAATTACCGATCTGCATGTCCTAGTGAAAGGAAATTATGAAAAAGCTGTTCTGGAAGAAGATTCATGGATGAAGAATGTGTTCTCACTGTTCATTACCTCTTTCATGAATGTGAAGTATGGCAAACTCGATATTGCTTCATATATATTTATTTCTACTTTTCCCAGATTTTATTCCGCAATTCCTAGAAAGAGAAAAAACATACAGTACACTCCCAGTAAACGGAACCAGAAGGGGCCGGGAAAATATGTTCCATTTACCAGGAGCTCCGTTTACTAAGCGGTGAACATCAGTGAAGAATACCAAGCATTGCAGAGGCAACATTTCTGTTTAACAGATTCCCGTTTACTGAGAGTCTACTGTACATTCTAGTGGCATGCCTGTGTTTGCTAGTGGACATCGTATTAATTACACACCATGCAAATCATGAAACGGTCTATCAACAACATTTCTGGAACAGATGATGTCCGCTCATGAATAGCTAAAACAGTTTCCCACTACCCAATTGCCTAGACTTTACGACCCTCTGCGGAGGATGCATTTTGTTGTCGAGTTAGGCTCGCACAACAGAACCTGCGCCGGCACTGATCATGCTATCATGGATCTAAACGCTTGCGTGATCGCTGTTCATTCAGCCAAATAATTTTGATTCGTGGTTGTGACTTTGGTGGCCCCAAGATCAAGCATACATATGTTGTGGCGTTCCTCCAGTGAGACTACTGGTGCCAGAAACTTCCAAACCTGAGACTCTGGCACAGGTTGTTGCAATTTACGTTCACTTCATGAGGGTAGTGCAGCAACAATTAAATTTGGCGCAAGAGTGGATACACTGCGAACACTAAATCTCAATGATGGAAACCTTCCTTCGTCCTATGTGTGGTGCTTGCACGACGCGCTGAAACCTATATATAGTAGACACTGCCAGCTAATTGGACTCATTGTGAACAAGACTTCCATGTGGAAATTAAAATGTTGTTTGTCTCCTTTTATTTAGTCAGCATACTCTTTTCGTTCCCCATGCTTCATTTCAGCCAGACGATTTCTGTAAAACTCGATTTCATTTGACAAGTAGATACACTGAAACATCAATATAACAAACCCAGATAAAACGAAATATCGGTTATAACAAAGTCAATGAAGAATAGTCATGCAATAGACATAGAGTTACAAACAAACCTTTAAATCCAATTTTTGGATATAACGAACCTATTTTCATGTATGATACAACTTTGTTAAGAAATTTGAGTGTATTGGAATGCGTGATTTTCATGCCACAACAACGGAGTACAGATATTGGCTGCATAAGGTCGATCTTGATTAGTGTATAGTTCATTATGCATTCTGCAGAGCTTATAGTACCTTGAAAAAAGGCATGATAAATTTTGGAAATGTTATAGAAACCTGAGAGTGATGCTCAGTTTGTTCAAAGTCATAGGCAGTGGAAAAAGACGTCGTTTATTCGTAAGATCAATTACGATAATAAAGAACGTCGACAAGAGGCCTTAACAGAAGGCAAGCATCCTATGTGACTAGCCCCCGTCAAAGCTTCTCCAGCTTAGCTGCACGCTCCACAAACTCCACCAGAGTGCGCACTGGTCGGCCTGCAAGAAATCATAGCACACAATTGACACAGAAGAAAAGTAAACGAAAGAAACCAAATGCACTCATAAAAGCATATGACAGAAAAGGCTGCCCGTAATGAGATAAAAATGATCATCACTAACACAATGTTGTCCCTGCTTTTTTTTTTCCTTTTGAGATGGCAGCAGTGCACCGCCACAGTATGAATCATGTATCTACTGCCTACATTTTTTTTAAGCCTGTACGACAAGAAATCATGAAAAGGATACTTGAAGTTATCAACAAACGCCCACAAGACAAGAAAAATGACATATGAACGAAATATTGATTATAAAAAAGTCAATGAAAAATAGTCTTGCAATAGACATGGAATTAGAAACAAATTTTTAGTCTGTATTACACTACATAATTCTGTATAAATAAGTTTGTATTTCACTACATTTGGTAGAACCAGTACCACATAGGGAAAAATTGGCCACGTATGTCCATGGTTCACTGTAAATGTCGTCGAAAGACGTCAGCCTTTTGTCTAGAAACCCTGCGCGAGATGTGCATGCCATCTGGAAGTAATCTGGGGAAACAGGAGAATTTACAGAGCTTAGAGCCACTGGTAGATGGCAACATCATGTCATCGGCACCCTTTTTCATGCATAGCGTCACTTTTTCAGCACAGCGTAAAGAACACATAATTCGTGTACGGTGAACAACTACGTAGGGTATTTATATCACATATCTATGTATTTTCTAGAAAAGAATAATATAATATTTCTTGGGGTTTAACGGACAGACGCCAAAGTGCAGGAATCCGAAAGTTTCGACCACATGGGAGTCTTTAACATGCACCAAATTACATAAGCACACGAGCCTCAAGCATTTTTGCCTTCATCCAAAAAACAGCCGCAGTGGCCGCAACTCAATCCAGTGACCTGCGTTTCAAGTAAAGAAACACACCACGTAATACGTATTGATGTCGCACTTAAAATTTGTGTAATATTTGCTTTCTGATCAAAAAGGTTCGCAGCCACCAGGTCAAGATGGCGGCCCAAGAAACAGGAAACGTAAAAACTTCTCGAAACCACTAGAAAGGTATGTGGACATCTAGTTATATTATGTTACGCTAGATAAGCGTTTTTCACAGGAAGTTTTTCAGAAAGATGTTGAGAAAACCTTCTGTACAAAAAGTCTTTTTCAAAACTTCTACTAAATGTTATTTTCTAGAACTTCTGGTAGAATTCGGGGATGAAGTCTCGATTGTCCATGCCACATATGCAGGGTGTTTTCTTCGTTTCTTTTTTTTAAATCAAAATATTTACTTTACATCTTTATGTAGTATATAGTTTCACATATTTTTTACATATTTAAGTGTAATAACAAAGCTCTCTAGTCAGCATTAACAAATTAAGATGCACAAATGCCAAGAGCATCTGTGCGGCTAGAACAATTTTACTTGTTTGAACATTCTACCCGCTGCTCGATCAATTCTCGAAGGGTCGGGTTTCAGTCAATTTCTCTCATGTTGTAAGTGTGCTTGCCCTTTGTGCTCGTGTTTTGTGTTCTGCCAGTGCTGCTGATTACGAAGATGCGCTATACTCAAGTGAGAACGTGTAGCTTCGTATCTTGGAGCACTCGCCATGTATGTACCACATAGCCGCTGTCGGCGCTTTGTTATCACCACGTTCACCAAGTTTTTATTACCATGTGCACGATAAGTGAGCTTTTGTTTATGTGGCGACCCTGTTTTTCTGTAGCATTTCAGCAGTGTAAAGGCAAAGTTGTGTAAAGTTAAGCGCGGACAAGATTTTTCTCTTGTGTGGAGTGTGAAGCATGCATGCACAGCAGGAATTCGGCGGCAGATTTGAGCAGAGTTGTGGCGGTGGTCCCCTCTGTCGGCAGTGGTGTTAGAGGGGGCCCTTGCTCGCGAGTGACCACTGCTTTTTTTGTTTAATAATTCTGCGGCATTTGTTAACTGTAGGCGTTGATCACGCCTAGTGTGCGTAAGCCTGTCTAAGCCAGTTTCATCTGCTTTACGTTCCATCTTAAACAGCTTTAGTATCATTATATGTTATGACTACTATGAGGGATGTATTTCCTTGCGTGTGGCCAAACGTAGGCCTGTATATGCATCTGCGCTGGCACGCGTTTTTATAAACTACCGTGATACTCGAGTAGATGCGTGTTCGTATGCAGCGTGTAGCATCGTCTTAGGTATGGCTTGCAAAGGTTGCACTTGCGCTTAAGTGTTCAAGCAGCTCGTTTAGTAAAATTCGAATTTATGGTATACACCAGCCACATAGGCTGCCTCATGCGGCCAGAATCCATGCATTTTAAGTCATTCATTTACCTTCAACTGTATGTTCGAACAAATGTTTCATGGCTAAATGTGGCCGAATTGCTGTACATTACTGTGCAAGCACTAATTCAGTCTTTTTAGTCCACGCGTTCGAGCACCATTGATTTTACTCTGCTTGTTTCAACTATGTTTGGATTTTGTTTCGGTTTATTTAATATTCTATGCCCCTCGCCCAACCTTGGTGTTGAAACTTTGCCAAACAATTTTACGTGTACGAACATTAGGAATAGTTCAGAGCACCACTACCAATGACATTTTTTTATTAATGACAAGCTAAATGGTATATTGAATAAAGTAAACTATCTAGGCATGCGCTACAGATGTTAACGGGATCTGTGGTATATGCAGAATGAATATTTTATTTATCACTCAAAACTCGTGATAATGTTATAAATCACGGTAAGCATGATAAGTCATGCAAGTATTGCTGTTAAAATGTAAATTTGGACACCATACTTATTTTAGAATAATAATATAGACTACAAGTTTTCAAGCTATTGGCACTGAAAGAATTATAAAAATTTGAAAATCAGTTTCATCAAATCTTGTTGCTAAATTGCGGTCAATAGCTTCCAAGATACTGGTTCCTGGAGATTGTTGCAGAAACTTGCATGCTTTATTGGGATGGTGTGTGGTTCAAGGTGGGTGCCTTGTGTCTCAGTATTTACACGTTTTTTTTTTTTTTGTCATTAGACAATCTGTGATGCTTAAGGGGGGACGGGGATCTTAGAATGGTGAAAAATGGCCAAAAAGCCGATTTTGAGAAAATGTGATATTTGAAAATTTTAGACCTATAAGCACGGGTCCTCAAATTGTGAACGCTGAATTCGATCATTAAATGGACTAAAATTGATTATGAAGTCGCCACGGGAGCCGCAAAACAACCCACGGCAGGTCAAATTCGTTTAAACTTCCCGCGCACGCCGCCGGCGAGGCAGTCGGCTCATCGCCGCCATCTTGAGCTTGTTTTGAAGCTGATTGCTTTGTGCGCATTTTGCCACCCTTCAAAACGGCGTCGCTTAAGGGGCGACGTGGGTTCTAAATTTTTTTTTTTTTTTTTTTTTGCTCAATCTGAACCAAACTTCACTACCTAAGCTAGTTTTTCATGCTGATTTCAAATCTCTAATTTGTTTTTTATTATTTCACGTGGTTTAAAAGATATGAAGGTCTGAATCTTAATTAATTGCATACTTCTTACGGGACTTCTTGGCAATTTATTCTTGCTAAATCCAAAACGTGAATGCATAATCCCAATGCTGAAGACTTGCTGTAGGGAGTGATGGTATTTTTATCCATTTGAAGGCATTTTATAAGCAAGAAAACGGACGAACACTTATGGTCACTATATTACAATAAATTTCTTTCACTAAAATCTTCAATGATAATTTTTGAAGTGATGCTAGAGAAATAGAAATAGCATCACCCCCTAGATCATGTCAAGACGAATAAAATGATACCAACTTTGTCGCATTCACTCAAGTTTAACATAGGAAAAACCTCCGTAAGGCCGAGTGCAATGTGCAAAAATATCGAACTGAGAACAACGTGTTTGAAGTTTCTAGCAACTTTAACTTTTGCTAAAGTGAAGCGACAGCGATATTAATGGCATCATTCTGTACCTCTATATTATAGGATAAATAGCCATGCTAAATTTCACTGTACCCACCCAGAATACTGCTCACAGCTTGTTCTAGAAATATAAAATTGTCATTGACTCAACATGAGAATTATTATTCTTTTACTTTGTGGTCATTCCAGTGCCTTGCAAGTGAAACGAACACGAAAAAATCATGTAATAATGTTGCCCTAGGATAGACAATAGATTTACACAATGTTTAGGTCTAAAACAAAGACTATTTATTTTTGCAAAAGTTCTCACTATTTGCCATCATTACTGTTTACAGCAGACCAGGGCTGTAAGCACAGTCTCCTGCTGGCTTGTGACGCTTTGAAAGTCTTTCCTTTATTAAACTGCTGTCGAGATGCTCTCTTTGCGATTTTCGCAGCCTGCCCTTGTCCTTCTCAAGGCTGCGACGCACTAAATTATTGCCAGCGCTGTAGCCCAGCTTCTCGGCAATTTCCACGTTGCTCTTAATTGTGCCTTGGTTGAAGCGGCTGATGGCTTCGGCAACTGCCCTTTCAATGCTCCGCAAGGATGCATGCTGAGTTTTGGGGGCCTGCTGCCAAATCATAGCAAGCAGGCTCTCACTTGGGTTCTGGGTGATCCCATCGCTGCACCTTTCCAAGAGGGCATTGTCGCTCAGCCGCCTAAACACAGGCTCCAATGCCTTTGTTACGAAATCAGGCAGGCTGTCCTTGTGTGGTGGCGGCTTCTCATTTTTCGCAAGAGCTCTCTGAAATTCGCACCAGGATTCAGGGCCTTCAGGGCAAAGGTCATGCTTTGGTGCCTTGTCAGTTGAAGACATGTGGTTCAAAGTTGCTAGAACAGCCTTCTGCATACCTGGAACATTGTTCCTGTGGCTTCTCAATGCGTAGCCATAGTATGAGGTGATCTTCTTTATCTTTTGTTGCTTAAGTCTGCCCTTTCCATCAAGTGAGCCACCTTGAGCTTTTTTTTCTCTACAAGGGTACATAAGGCAGCTCCCATCACTCGTGTACATAATTTATGCAGTCCTTTTTGACCACCTTTATGAAGCTGTACACCTCTTT